CCCCCCCCCCCCCTTTTATTTCAAGATAAGAGCAGTTGTTTCTTTATTGGGGATACTCAGGAGCCAGAGTTGCTGTGCAATCCTAATGTGATTATATGCTGCCATATTTGTGATAGTCATAAATGTATTACTTAAACAATATTCACTCATGAATATGGTTGTGTATTACTAATTTATGATTGTTTGAGGTGCAGAACCTTATGGAAAAATGATTGCATTAAAAAAAGAAGAAGCCTGAAACCTTGCTGTTATTGTGTGACTATAATAGAAGGTTTGCACAGAAAATCTTGCCTTATGCCATGATCTCAATTACAATTTCGCATATTCAAACTTCACATCCCAGTAAGTTATGAGACACTCCAGGGCTAACAATGTTTTGTCAATGATGTCAAAACATGACACAACATTCCTTTATGCTGTTTAATTTGAATATCTTTGAAATTTTAGTAGAAAATTGTAATGCTTTTGCCCATCGTTACGTTATCACTTACAGTAGTTGTGGTTTCTGTATATAAAGTACACAACCATTCAAAAGTTTGGGGTCGGTAAGATAAAAAAAAAAATTTTTTTTTTAAATGTTCTTGAAATAAATTTTTTCATGTTCACTGCTGCATTTTCTACATTATATATATATATAAAAAAAAACTAATATTGTGAAATTTTATTTCAGTTAAAATTAACTTTTCTTTTTTTGATGTATTTTAAAATTTAATGTATGCCTCTGATGGGAATGCTGAATTTTCAGCAGTCATTACTCCAGTCTTCAGTGTCACATGATCCTTCAGAAATCATTTTAATATGCTGATGCATAGCTCAAGAAACATTTCTCATTAATATCAATTTTTTTTTTTTTTTTTTTTTTAAGAAATTGATATTTTTTCAGCAAGGATGAATTAAATCGAAATTAATCGAAAGTGACATTACAAACATTTACAGTGTTAAAAATATAAAATAAATGGTTTTATTTTACACTTTCCATGCATAAAAATACTGAGAATACTGAATATATCACTGTTTCCACAAAAATATTAAGCAGCACAACAATTTTCATCATTAATAAATGTTTCTTGAGCATATAATAATGATTTCTGACAACTCATGTGACACTGAAGACTGGAGTAATGGCTTCAAAAAAATTCAGTGTTGTCATCACAGAAATAAATTATATATAGTATGCCTCTGATGGGAATGCTGAATTTTCAGCAGTCATTACTCCAGTCTTCAGTGTCACATGATCCTTCAGAAATCATTTTAATATGCTGATGCATAGCTCAAGAAACATTTCTCATTAATATCAATGTTGAAAACAGTTCAACTGCTAATTTTTGTGGAAACCTTGATACTTGTTATTCAGGATTCTTTGAGGAATAAAAAGTTCAAAAGAACAGCCTTTATATGAAATTGAAAAAAAATTGTACCATTATAAAAGTCTTTACTGTCACTTTTGGTTAATTTAATGCATCCTTTCTGAATTAAAGTATTAATTTCTTTCAAAACACAAAAAATACTGATCCCAAAAGTTTGTATAGTGTATTGTATTACATTGTTGTGCATAACTGACTGACTGACCAAAACTGATTTTGTGTAGTTTGAAGTTATAAACTGACTATGTTGTTTGTTTGCAGACTCAGCTGCTGCTGGATGTGGTGGAGGATGAGAACACGGCGCAGGAGAACAGAAGAGAGATGGCAGACGTTTTACTGAATGCCCTGACGGACAGACAGCAGCACAGACAGACATGGAGGGACAGGTATGTGCCATTGTGCTAAACTCTTGTGTTTAATGTCACATCTTCAGTGAATTGTATAAAAGAAAGGATTTTTTTTTTTAAGTTAGCAGGAGGACAATCCTTCAGGCCAAGAGAGTTCACACAAACACACACATACACATGTGCCGATAGCCCATTGACTTCCTTCCTCTGAGATAAGGGCGACTGAGAGACATAGACCATTTGTTCCGATAACACAGCGAACCAGCCGTGCACACACATATACACATACCAATACATTAGCACACACTCCTCCTTTCTCTTGCTTTATTATTTCCCATCAGACTACTGTGTGTGTGCATGTGTGTGGTAATCTGTCTTCATTCAGATCAGACCATTAGTCAGTATGGCCTGAAATAACTGAATTTCCCCCTTGAACAAAAATAAGGACTCCTCGCTGTCTTCTTGTTTCTGTAAAGTGGCCCCTTTAAGGGGGTCGTCCCCTCGCTTTGACCCCAGAGTGACGCCCAGGGCTGCTGGTACCTGTAAACAGTGCTGGTATTTGCTAAAACTGCATTCTTAAATCAGATGATGAAAACTACGAAGCAGACCATGATTCATTTGTCAGATGGCGTCAAGGACACAAGCACACACACTTTTAGCCCTGTGTGGTATGGTATTTTAATTTGGTATGTTTCTTCTAATGATTTGTTTTAGTTAATTAGATGCTGTTGTTAACTGATCCACATTATCCAACATAGTTTTATAGAAATTTGCGAAAAATATTAATGTTGCCATATGATAGAGCTGTACCGCAATGGAAACATTGGAAATGGAATTGCTGTTTGTTTTTGTTTTTTTAGGTCCCCCACACACACACTGTTGATAGTGGCTGATGTTCTATTTACTATGATAAAAATGCATTTACTATATCCATAAATAACACAATTACAAATTACAGTATGTTTTCTTCTTTTCAGTCAAAAATGAACATGGAAATGTTCAAGCTCTTTCGAAATACGTGCCCCTGTATACATTTTTGCAAAACTGAAAAAACTTACCAATACATACGAATCGCTGCAGTTTCCAGTTGAAATAAACACTAGAGGCAGTAAAACTCCAACAACTTTTATTCCTTTTCACACACAGTATGATTTACAGCTCCACAGTTTTGATTAATAAAGCCTCATTTTCGCGCAATTACTTTAGGAATATTATGTTATATATTCAAAACAATTTTAACTTGCTGCGAGATTTCAAAACGGATACTTTTGAACGTTAGCGTCACATATGCAGCTTCATATGTATGGGTTTTGATATTCAGTAGGTTTGTTCGGTAGCTCACGCAGAGTTGCACTTGAGTGATAAAGAGCTCCAGTACGAATCCCTTGAAACTACGCTTCGACAAAACAGCTCAAACCTGCATATAAGGAACTTCAAATGGCACGGTTGCATTAACAAATGCATTTTTATATCAGTTTTGCATTTGTTAACACTATCAGGTAGGTTTAGGGTTGGGTTTGGTGTAGGGGATATTTCCAACACAATAGATTATTCACTTTTAGCGACACTCCCCGGATATTTGAATTATGAACTGCCGCAATACGTACCTGAAGCAATGTAATAAAAACACAGCAATACGTGCCTATATCAACGTAAAAAAACGTACCAGGGTCACGTATTGAACCCGTGTTTTAGCACCACTCACTGGACATTTCACTTTGAAACTGCCGCGAAACGTACAGTAAGGTACGTAATAACGGTGTTGCAGAAATGTATTTAGAGGCACGTATTTCGAATGAAATGTTTTATGACACAGGTTTGCTAATCCGATTGACAACAGTGAACATTTTCAGAATCATTGTTTTTATGGTTTTAACCCATAGGGTTCACTCAGTAAGTTTGTAGGAGTGTACAAATACTTTAAATAAATAATTAATTAGATATTTATATAATACAAGGAAAAATTTAGCTTTTTGTTTAGAAATTTTTTTTTGGACCATTTTCCATTGTGTTACAGAGTTACCAATAATAATACTTTGTTTCTCTTTTATATATGGTAACGTTCAAAAGTTTGGGGTCAGTAAAATGTTTATTTATATATTTATTTAAGAAATCATATTAGAGTGTTACTTGAGCACCAAATCAGAATGTAATATTTCACAATAATTTTTGTAACATTTCACAATAGCTTTTTTTTTATCAAATAAATCCAGCCTTGGTGAGCATAAGAGAAATTTTTTTTTTTAAATCTTACCGATCCCAAGTTTTTGAATAGTATTTGTTTCTATTATATTTAAAAAAAAAATCAAATGTGGAGAAATATTTCACCATTAGAACAATTTGTTCCTTGTAGTCTTAGTTTCATCTCACCGCTGAAGAAACTGAGTGGTTACTTACACACACAATGTATTTGCACACTCGGTCACGGCCACGGAAGTTTATTTCATCAGACGGAGCAGCGTGATTAGATAAAGCTACCTTCACTCCTCTGTGTGCACACACTGCAATGTGTTTGAACTCATCCCTTTCCACTATCACTTCCTGCCCCCCTTCTGGAGCGGATAACGTCACTCTTCGAAACATCAGGCACAGGTCTGTAAAGTAGCTGTCAACAAATCGCATTCAGGGAGGGGAGGCAGATAGCTCAGGCTAAGGTTAAGACACGCTGCTAAGACAAAAATGAACTCATAGCTGATAATATCTCCTTCGACACGAGCTGATAAAGTGAACGTCGTACACCACGTTCTGCTCACCTGAATGCTGTGATGTATTAATGCTATTATTTTGACAGACTGTCATAACAGCTATCATGACTCACAGTGCCGAACACAAACATCCATTTCTGACCACTCTTCTTGAAAAGAAACTTCTTGGAGCAGCGTGCTAAATCATGTCGCTTATTTTGCCGTGAAAGCCTGTGATTGTTTTATTAATTTAGTATGCAGCAGGCCCGCTCCTCACATTATGCCTTTCTTTTGTTTCTGTGTCTGTGTTTTGAGTGGTAAAAACCGGGTGATGGATGGTTGGCGCTACAGGCTCATAAACATAAGCACAGCGGGCTGATTGATTAAGGCTTTTATTGTCTTACAGACATTTGCTTTCTTAAACAGTAGTTGGAGTGTTGCAGACTGTGGGGCCTCTGGACCTGCTTTCAGCTATCTGAAGTTACCCTGAAGGACAGAGATGCTAAATGTGACTGTAGGCTTCTCCCGTTGACTTATGGGTACTCAGGCTTATTAACTTACCTAATGCACTCATGCAGGTCACCTTCAGACATTTTGGCTCTTTATGTTAACCTCTTTAGATGGACTCGTTAAAAATATGTTTGGCACATTTTTGTCATGTACTTTTTATTTTTCTCTTGTAATATGAAAATGACAAATCACCCAGATTAACAAATAATCTCCTATGAATTATTTTACTGGACTTTTACTGGAATCTCTTTTTTTCCCATAACACACGACGTGTGGAATTTAAATTTGGTAAATAAACCGCAAAGCCAATAATAATAAATAAAAATGTTTTTATCTTATACTGCTGGCCTTTGTTTCTGGTGTGCGCTGCATTTCTATTCATTATTTAAAATTGAATAAATGAAATGCAGGTATGTGCGTTTAGATCTGTATCTCTGTTGCGGTTGTTCTCAAGCTTTTTGTCTTAAAGTTCCCATTCTCCAACACATTATTTTGTATTTTTTGGTATTTCTGCTATAATTATGGCAACAGAAACTGGGAGTGTTAATATAATAACCATGGTAGTAAACCATGATTCATTTTTAATTCAAAATTGACCATGATTAATTTTTTATTTTAGAAGTTTCAAGAACTGTATGTTATTGAGGCGGGGGGGTTAACATTTTCATTACTTTATTATTATTATTTTTTTATTTTCTTATTATATAAGAACTAATTTTTGAATTTGAATTTAGAGTTCATATTATTTTAACATATCAATTATATATATATATATATATATATATATATATATGTGTGTGTGTGTGTGTGTGTGTTTATTTTTTCATTTAATTAAATTTTTTCATTTAAATAGTTTGAAGTGGTTCTGAGGCCCCCTTGGAAGTTTGCTGAGGCCTCCTGGTTGAGCTTTTTTATAATGAAGGGGTAAGTGCAATGCGTGTAAAGGGGACCATGTATGCATATCCATCTGTGCTTTTGGAATATTCTGGAATGATTTGCGCTTTAAAATGTGTTGTATCTTCCATAGGTCAAAATCAAACACTTACAGAAGGAAGACCTCTTAGAGATTCATTTGCATTGGCAGACGAAAGGGCTTGACCTTGAGGTTTTTGTTTCATCCATATGCAAGCTGCAGTGTCGTGGGTCAAAACCACTGATCTCGCACCCTTTATGCCTGCACAGACACGCTGCAATGAGACTTTACGTAAAAAGTACACATGTGAACACACGCTCAGATAGAACCGACCTTGCTCAGGTAGATAGTACAACTCCTGTCACATTTACATCCCTCCGTTGACTTCTGCAGGGGTCACAGTCCATTCCTGCGGTGGGCAGATTGCGTGTTTGGGAGGTGATGAAGGGGGCAGTGCCGGGAACAGCTGTGTGGTTTGTAGTGACCGTACTAACTGCTGTTGGCTTTGTAAGGTCATTATATGATAATGAAAATGATTACTGAATTACATGGGGGTTTTGGAGAGGGGAGGGGAGTGAACGGGCCTGAGTTTGATAAATGATCTCTGAAAATGCCCATCTGTCTCCAACCCCCTCTCTTTCATTCTCTCTCTCTGTTATATTTCCCCTCTTTTCCTTTTCGTTGCCATTTCTGTGTTTTTGCTTAATCTGTTTTTTTTTGCATTATCACGATAGAGTGAAAAAAGGGAGCAATAGGAGAAGTGTGAGAGGAAGTGTACAACTGTGTGCATTTGTAGTGTTGGACTCTCAGTAAAACCACAGAAGAGAGCAGCCACCGTTCATACTTTACATTAGATAATGGAAAAATTAGCTCACCCTCTCCTTGATATACAAAATGTCTATCAGGTTTAAGTGGACAGGGCAGATTTAGGG